TTCAGCAACGAAATTTTTGACTAACGTACGAAAAATCCTAGATCCGCCCCTGGGACAAAGATATAATGAACTACCAAGAAAGGCTGGGAAGTCTTATGTTGATGTCCGTTGAGGACGATTTATTGGAGGAGTTTGACGTAGAACTCGTTAATTAAAGGGTTGTGGATATGGTTCCAAGAAGAATGGATTCAGTTTAGATCTTTAAAAGTTAAATTAAGTGTTTGTTATTATTATAGCATGCCAATAGTTCTCAACTTTACTTGGTATTTTATGAGAAGTAGCCTAATGCAATGATGAGAATACAGAAAGTGGCGTCTAATAAACCCAGAATTATCTAATCATATTGGGATTTTCTCTCTCCAACACCTTCGAGCTGGAATGTGTGAGGCCTGTTTCATATGTACGTCCCATTATCGTCAAATTTTAATAATTCAGACGAATTCAACTGAACGACATAAATTCCACTGTATAATGCATCGTATCAATGATTTAAATTCTTCTGATAAATTTAATTCATCTATGTCGTTTTGTCTGTTATGATCAGACGGATAAAACGTCTGTAGCGACATCGTTTAAATACTGACGTCAGAATTATGTTAATGCGAGTTTCTGATCCGGCTGTAGGTCATATTTTGTGCCAGTTTCTAATTCATGATCCAGGGCCTATATTTAGTGCAGTATTGATTGAAAAGTGTGCTGCAGTTTTTAATGCAAAAGTGTGAATGTGCAGGATTGAAAATTTGAACTTTTTAGTTTTAACATAGTGCTATGACTGCTGTTGCAACGTCAAGAATGCATCAATTAACGAAATAGAATAGATGCTGCAGGAAAACGTGAAAAACAATATTCACATTATTTAGTCTATTTTTTCAAAATGTGTAATTCTAAAATAAATAAGTTATATTAAATAGACAGTTACTTCGCTTAAATTGAGATTTCCTGCCATTTTTATAAAATCACAATCATTATGTATATACATAAAAATATTACTCGACTGTGATTGGTTGATTTCATTGCAGTTAATCTCAAACAGCGGTGCAAAATTTGTAATCACAGTGCAATTTTTTGTAATCACAGTGCTATTACAGTGCAAAAATCTGTAACAAATTGATCTGATTGGTGGAAAAACAATGTGATGATAAAATCAACCAATCAGTTTAAAGCAGTTCTCAAGTAACGGTCAAAACAAAACGTAACGTCAAAAAGTAACGGTCAGATTGCTTCAAAACAAAAGAAACATGGCGCCGCGCTACATAAAGTAAAAGTTGACTTCGGTTGGAAAATATGGCTTCTATCTCTTTTAAATGGAGAAGCCTTTATGTCTTTACCTTAAACAAGACTATAACAAAACTTACATAGTTGAGTGGAATTTTCAAGCTGTTAGCGTTGTATAATGTGATATAACAAAGTCAGGACAACTTTGCCAGTGCCAGTAGACGGTTCGCTATAAAAATAAGTTAAACTCTCTGTCTCGAACATTTTTATCAGGGGCGCACATTAGGGTGGTTTGGGGGGGGGGGGGTTGCGAAACCCCCCTTAGCGTCCGAATATCACTAAAAGTCGGTCCCATTCTTCCTTGATACTGTGCGAAAACTCGGTCCCAAAATTCGGGTATAAGAATTAATATTTACTTCTGTCCGACTCCGTGAATTGGGACCGACAACACAAAAGCTGGTTGGTAAGATGTTATGAACAAGCCTATGTGTATGTGTTAATATATGTGTAAGAAACTATTTCTTGATTTTTAAACGTCAAATCGTAGCGCACCCGCTAAGGTTTAGATGGTTAATTCAGATTATTTATTATCTTGATTTCATTGTTTTGCTAGTTGTTATTATACACTTCTATTTTTCATTATTTTCAGTATTTTATATGGACGGACGAAAGTAACAATTATATTCGAAGAAATAAACTCGTCTCTCTCTCTGCTACTATCCGATTTCGCACCTGTGGCCTGCGAACGGATATTCTCATGACAGCTCATACACATTACTAATAAACACGTCCTGGTATTCACACGCGAGCTCATAGGCCTATACACATGTTTTGATTCTTCAGTTCAGAAAAAGACTTATCTGATTCTATTGATCTGGAACAGATTGAACAAATGCTGAAATTGAGCGAACTATTAAATAAGGGATGAATTTTCTTAATCCTTCGTTCGTACACCTGAACGAGCATACCGAAAAGGTAGAGTTAAGACTCTGAAATGGTCGTTTCTAGCGACCTAGAGGTTCTAAATGTTGAAAATTTTTTCGCTCGGCGCCAACCATGGTGGCGCCTCGTGAGACTTGAAACCCCTGATTTCAAATACATTCCCACGTCCCTGTTCTGTGGCATGATGTTTTTGCAGAATTGTTTTTACCCTTCTGTTTAATTTCTTTTTGAATAGCAAAAAGTCGGTCCCCAAGTGCCCCCCCCCCCCTAGAAATTCCTTAGATGTGCGCCCCTG